TACACTTGATCCACTTGCTGTTGACACCAAAGTTGCGGGGAGCAGAAGACACTCTGGAGGATATGCTTAGGCTTCAAAATGGCCTTGAGAAATTAAAAAAATGATCAGAAACATTGGATGAAATTCAGTAAGGACAAGTGCTGTACTGAGGACAGAACAGCCAAGTACATACATACACAGAGGGAAGGACTGGCTGAGCTGCAGAGTCAAGAGAAAAAGGATGTGGGGGTTTTGATGGACCACAAGCTGCACTGGAGTCAGTGAAGTATTGCTGAAAAAGTCTAATAGCATCCTTGGGTGTAATAACAGGTGTAGAAGTATCCCTTGATTTGCTTGAGAGGATTTTTCCAGTCAATTCAGAACTGGTAAGGCCTCACCTGCAGTACTGCATCCAGTTTTAGGCACCATACTTCAAGACAGACATGGATTAATTGGAAGGTGTCTAGAGGAGAGCAACACAAATGACCAGAGTCCTGGAAAACATGAAGGGAAAGGAAGGGTTAGAGTTGGGGTTATTTAGCTTGGAGAAGCAAAGACTGAAGGGGGTTGGTAAATGGTCAGACACAAGAGGTGGTTATCATGAGGAGGGTGATCAGCTGTTGCGTCTACAGGCGACAAGTGATGGGCTGAAAGCGCACCCAGGGAGATTTAAGTTGTATATTAGGAAGCGCTCATGCGGAGGGTGGTCAAGGCTGGGGAAAGCTTACCAAGAGACACTGCAGAGTCTCCATCACTGGAAATGTAAGCGCAGTATCAGAAATGTTGGTCTGGGATGATTTAGGAAGGTGGTTGAGAGGGGGTTGGACTGAGGTCCTCTCCAGCCTGGCTTTTCTGTGATTTTTGAGCCACTGTTGTTGGCAGTTTTCCAAGCTCTTTGGGGGCAGAGGGAAGTCCTTGGCCTGATTCTTTGGGCATCTGGCCTGTAAGCACCTATTTGTCTGTTCCTTTGCAGCAAGCTACCCGTGGAGACGGCCTGGTCTTCCAGATGAGGACAGGGATGCTTCAGTAACTGCCTGAATTGCAACCACGACAATAGAGGTGTTTTCTTTTCACACTTCCCAAGGCCCTAGTCTGCCAAAGCAGGTAGTTAGTTCCCTTTTGCGCTGCACTGACTGTTATTGTGCACCTGGTGACCTGTTGGGACATTCACCCTATGGACATTCATGTTTCCTGTTCTGTGTAAGTTGAGTGTCTGGGGAAAGGAGTGACTCTGGCTCCTCATTCAGCCACAGCTTCTCTGCCCTCCATCCTGGCTGTCCACCACTGCTTGGTGGTTTAAGCAGCAAGCAGTGGTGCAGCAGCTCTCATTTCTCCTGGGAGTTCAGCACTGCTAAGGTCTGTCAAGGAGAGGATAGGCCAACCCAATGATTACCACTGTGTTGCCTTTAAGAGCAACTCTTGTGACTGCGAGCCATACGCTAAGTCTCTGGCAAGCACCCAGCTGGCAGAACCGCTCAGATCGAGGGCTCTCCCTGCCGACTGGAACTTCTGCATGCCTGCTCGTCCCTGGCTTAGCATCTGCCCAGTGCTTTGAGGTTCTTCAGGAAACAGGGACCCAGTTGCACTGAGCTCCAGGGTGCAGTCAAGCCCAGGTCCTGTCAGGTGCCAACTCCCACTGGCTGGGGTTAGTCAGTAGCACCTGACACGGGACAGACTCAGGCTGTGACTTCGCACTGGTTGCCTGCCCTCAGGGCTAGATGCTGCCCGTCCCATGCATGGATGAGGATACACTGCAGAGGGCTAGGTCAAGCCTTGCCCGTGTCCCTGCACCAACAGGATGCCCTTTTGCTACAGGGCACTTACCTGGGTTGCATGTCTCCTGAGGGAGCACCACACGTCCTTGTGGTTGGGGAGTGCCAGGGTCTCAGGAGAGAACTGAATCACGTGGAAGCACCCTGTTTTCCAGGAGGTTTTTTTCCCCGCTTAATGTTGGTGAATCTGAAACCTAAAAATAAATTGGTGAAAGGCACCTTTGTCCTGCTGCATTGATTTGGGTGGCCAGGAGGGTCTCCAGGCTGCAGTTACATAAACCACCAGCTTCCTGAAGGTGCTGGAGTAGGGAGGGGTTTATTCCACACCTGCCAGTAGTCTCCTGTCAGTGCAGCTTCCCTTTCCCTCTAATGCAGGCCTCGCCATAGTAGCTGGGACTAGCCTTTGGAGATTAGTTACCTTTTATAAGGAGCTAAATCTGCCATACCTTCTCTGGAGATTGACAGGAGCCTGAAGGAAAGGGAGACCTGAGCCTTGGAAGAGCCTGGACATGTCTGGTAGCAACAGGAGCCTGGCCAGGTGCTGTGCACACACGGGGGAAGGAGAGGGAAAGGGAAGGGCTCTCCAGCCTTTTGGGCAGTTTAGCATAAGGTAGCAACCCTGAGCAAGCAGGCTGTACAACAGAGCAAGCCGCAGTCCCCGAATCAGCCGGGCTTTGGCTCTTGGAGGCTTTGCAGGCAGCAGATTTCCCCTACTGAATTTACCAGCAGCCTGGCCAGAGGGTACAGCCTGGGGCAGTGGTTCTCAGTCTTTTTAGACTTGAGGCAGCTGGCACAAGACTCCAGGGCCCCCTCAAAGTGGCAGCTCAGATTGTGACTACAGAAAAATACTAGAGCAATTCCTTTGCAAAAAAAACTCGGGGAAGCCTACGGCAGGGCAGAATGCTCCTAACACGATGGATTCCTACTTGAAATCTTCCAAATCGTGTCTGCACACCTAACAGTCCTTATGTTGTACGGCCCCCTTGACGGGATCTCAAGGTACCCAGAGTGCTTCAGAATCGTGGACCCAGGTGCTTTTGAACCACATGCCTTCCCCTGTTCCCCTCCCCATCAGCCCAATTACCATCTCCCATCATTGCCCCCACTCTGGCCATAGCTCCTTTCCTGCCGTTCTGGGTGCAGGGTGCCTGCATCTCGCCTTTCCAGCCCCTGCGGTCATCTGTCCAGCACCAGTTGGACACTTGCATTCAACGGGCTCATTTTTAGGCCCCCCCAAGCTCGCAAAGCCACCAAAAGAAGCAGACACAGAAAGTTGCCTTCCCATTTCTTTAATCTGTGTAACGTACAATGATACTGTACACAAAGCACACCCAGGCATTAGAACAATGCGCTAACAGCAAGGAGGAGAAGGAAGTGGTACGGTAGGTATGGGCCGTCACATACAAGCAAGTTAAGATCTTAACAGTATCATCACACACGACAGAATACACAGAATGAAAACCAGGATGAAGTAGACTGGGGTCTAACCGGTTCCCTGGCGGTATGCAGGTATCTGTCCCTCTTGCAGATCAAGCCAGGAAGAAGATTCCCCCTTCCCCAATCCATTTCCCTAAAACGAGTATTTATAAATAAAATGTAACGAACATCGTTGAATAGAAAATCGACAGTCAAGGATAGCGACATCCAGAGGGAGGAGAAATGTAAGGCTTCTAGAACTAATAGGAAAATGCAGCAAAGGTGAAGATACCTGAAGAGCAGGGGCTATAACCTACGTGCAGGTTTCTTGTGGGAGGAGCAGGAGCTTGCTAGTAACCCTTTGGTTAGTTACTGGTTTGCCTCTCACGTGGCTTCTAACACTGTAAACGTTTTTGGTATTAAAACTTTGCCTTTTTTAAACTTGGGAGTTAGCAAAAGAAGAAAGGAAGAAACCGAAGTGAAAAGTTTGGGGTTGTTTTAAAGGGACAGTGTCAGGTAAAAGCAAAAAACAATTCCAATCCAACGTTCAGATGATATAAAAAAAGCTGCTTTTTATAAAGCCTAAAACACACAGAAACATTTCCTTGAAAGCTCAGTTCCAGTGGAAGCCATTTAACAAAAAAAAAAAACCCAGCCCAATAATCCTGTGCAGTGCCTGCAGTACAAGTATTGCAGTGTTGTGCTAGTGAGTGAGAACTAGGAAGTGCTATTTATTAAAACTAGTATTTTTTTTCCATTGGCTGAGCTGACAAATGCATAAGGAGCGAAGCAGGCGATACACTTCCAAATAATTTCTTGAAGCTTGAACCTAAAGTTACTGGTACTAATGGCAAAGACGGTCTTTCACCTGACAGCGTCCCTTTAATAAGAACGGGAAGTACATTCATGTTTTCGCAACTGTAGCCACATGGATCCTCTTTTGGGCCCTTGGAAAGGCATTTTGTTTCACATGCACCACTCTCCAAAATGTTTCAGAACAAACAGTTTATAAACACAAAGGTAAACTATTGCTATTGTTGTCAGAGTTGTAATAATGTTGATCTTTGCTTCAGCTATAGAAATGCAAGATGGGGATGTTTGTGAAGATAGATTCATGTGGAACGCTAATGCACTGAACAGGTGGAAAAAACCCTTAGTGGCGTATTTCCTGGTCATACAAACCCACATCAGCTGATATTATTGCAGTGATGAACAAGGATTCTGCTCTATGATTGCTTCTCCATATGGATCCTTACAGTGGAAACCAAGAAAGGAGGGGTGGGATATTCAAGAAGCTTAATAAAAGGGTCAGAACAGAGGTGCTATGATTGTCAGTCTTCCCAATTCGTTTCAATTATGGAGCGATGAAGAGGTGATTGGAATATTGCACTTCTGCATTCATTGACAGTTACATTAAACTTGGTCCATAAAATAATTGCTTTGTACATAATGCCTGAAACAAAAAAGCTACATTTTTTTTTTAAATATTAATAAACCCTGAAGGTTCTCTTCCCTCCAGACACTGTGTTTTCTCTACATAAAATAAATAACTTTCACTTTGTATATACCCACTTTGTAACATTTACATTAGCCTCTGTTTTACACTATCTACACACCAGAAAAATCTCACCTGCATTCTGAAAAATGTACGTCATGCCTCGGTTTGTGGACTCTGCTTTCAGAGGAAGATTATAACTTCGTAAAGGCCATATCCAAATTTGCAAATATTCTGTGACCCTGCTTTGGATGCTTCACAGGAGGGGCTGCAGCTGGCTTCTACGGCAGAGGTCAACGTTCAGCTAGCAAAACGCTATGATGACTTTTAATTTTTTAAAATCCAGTAGCTTTGGATGTACATTCAAGGTAGCTAGGCTGAGTCACGAGAAAGGGAAGTCAGTTTTTCAGTAGTAAAAATCAGTAGGTATGTTCTGTAGCACAGTACTTATCAAACATGAGTGGCTTCAGACTAGTCAGGCTACCTACATGTGAGAAAGATGCACTGTGTTTGTGGTGGGTTTTCTTTTTTTCAAAGCTCCCTCCACACGGATGTTCTCAGTAGTGAAGAGCTGCTCTTACTCCACCACCATGTGGACCAAGCACGGACTCTAAATCAGTCCTGAAACTTGAGGTCTCAGAAGTCATGGGATCAATTTGGGATGTTTGCATGAGTTGTGTTTGCCGACCGGGCTCCGAGCCAGTAAGCAGAGCAGTGTTCACAGTGCTGTGCGTCTCGGTGCAGGAGTGATGCACGTAGGATTGAAAGAGTTAAGAAAGTGAAGCAGCCAGTCTAAAAAAATCTTGTTCTCGGTACGGTTCTCCTAAGTAGAAAGCGATACAAACACAGAGCACTGTGGCCGAGGGAAGCGGGGCGGGCACTTAGCCAACAAACCCAGAACTAATATAAAATCTTCACGTGAAATCAGCCTGTGGTGACCTCTACGTGGGAACCCCAGATTCCTCAGAAGGGTTTTCCTGTTCCTTGGCTGGTGTGTGCACGAAGGAGCCAGCGTCCTTCACCAAGGCTGGAAATCCAGGATCATGGCTGTCTGACCAAGGAGAGGCAGGGCTCGCAGGGCTTTCAGGACACTCCATGCTAGGCTGTTAAATGACGCTCCCTTGTTCTGTACCTTCCGGCTCCTTTTCTGCGGCAGTCGCTAGGGGGTGCTGGGAAGCAACCCAACGCGCTGCCCTGCAGCCTGCAACTGCCACCTCTGCAGCACTCCCAGCCCCTTGCCTTGTACTCAGCACGAGACACACCAAGATGGGAGTTTAGGGCGGCGTTAGCTCAGCACACTCGCCAACTGCAGAGCTGGGAAAATTAAGATATGGCCTTTTCCTTCGCTTGTACGACTCTGCTGGCACACTTCCTTCCAGTCTCCTTACTGCTGAAAAACTTCTGCACAAAAAATTCTAGGTATATTTACACCCTGGCTTAGCTATACTTAATTGTCATGCACTACAAACAGCTAGGTGTAGCTACTTGAGATGGTAACAAGTCTCCATTCTAAAAATTATCAGTGCAAAAACAATGAGGTTTTACAGTTGAATAACTACCATTAGAAGAAGCGAGTTGAATTCCCAGGAAAGCTGCTGCTGGACTTGGGGAGAACCTGGAAAAAAGAAAGCTCTCGGGGGTGGGGCAGGTTGAAAGATTTGGGCCCTGCATTGCGATGACAAGAACTGCAGTGCAATCTAGCTGCCACACCTTTGCGGTCCCTTGTGAATAGATAGTGGTTCATTTTTTAAATCATACACAGCAGTAATATCTGGAGGATTTAATATACAGTAATTTAAGTGGCTGAGGTTTTTAACAGCTAAAATAAAATAGCTTGTATTCTTTTGCAATAGGTCAATGTGACAAATTACATCAGCTTCCAAAATGAGTCTTTAAAAAAAAAAAAAAGGCAGAGAATGAAAACCAGGGACCCCACTTCCTTGAGCACGAATGTGCTGACAGACTGGTCCACCCAACAGGCTGAGACGTGCCACTAATGGTTTGCCGAGGCATGTGCTCCTCGATAGAAAGGGGATAAATTCTAAGCTCTCGATACGCGTAAAGCGCTTGACCGCTCCGTCCAATGCGGGAGAAGCCCCTTGCTCGCGTGTCTGTGCCTTGGCAGCGGCATGCTTACAAAACAGGAGTGCTGCAAGTCAGCTGTGTCTCTCAGTGCAGATAACGGGACCACCACCACAAGAAGATCCACTGGGCCTGCCCCCTGCCGCCCCCCACGGCACTGAGGATCGCACTCAGTCACGTGTATCTGATCAATGGCTACGAAGGTGAGGAGGCACATATATACAGTCACTAAACCTGGATAAAAGGAGGAGGCAGGAGAGCACGAGGTCTTGACCTGGAGGCTGTCTGTTTTCTTTTTCTCCTCAGATCCCTAGTGTCAAACGGTTTCTCGGGCTGGTGCCCCACGAACCCCATGCCCCGCGTTAAGGCCTGCACGTTCCATGTGGGAAACACATCCTTGTTTCCTCCCCAAACACCGGGTTGTTAGAGAGTAGCACCATATTTACCCTTCTGGCCCACACCGCTGGCCTTGTCCCTCCTTCCTTTTGTTTCCTCCTCTGGCAGCCGTGGCCGACTGCTGCTCGCTTCCCTCTGGCCCTACTTCTGACCCAAAACACCAGGTTCCAGTTTGATCACCGCGCTCCGGCCCCAGCACCCCGTGGCGATGCTCATGCTTCTTTGGCTGCGCTCCCGCTCCCTCTCCTTATCACTGTCCGACTGGCTCTGCGTGCGCTCGGGCCGGTGGCCGGCCCCACCCGCCCCCACGGGCTGCGAGGAGATGGTGCGGAGCAGATGGTTCCTCTTGCGCAGAAACTCTGTCTGGCTGGGGAGACCGAAGCTGCCTTTCCTCAGGGCCATTCGGGTGGTGTTCTTGGCCGGCCGGGAGCGGTGGTTATACTCCAGCTGGGCGAGGTGGGCCGCGTACCCTTCCGTAATGAACTGCAAAAAAAGCAACAGGATTACCCAGCAGGTAAGGGCCACGGTCAACTCGAAACAGAGATGCTTGTGAAGGAAAGGGAGTCGCAGCCAATTCATCTCCCACCCAGGCCCTCCAGGCCAAGCTGCCGACAGCTGTGTTTTTTTTCCTCTTCTCCCTACGGCTGTTTCTGTGGAGTTCCCACACCGCAGAGAAGGCCAGCTGACTTCTACCGGTGAAGCAGCAATAGTGATGCTCGAGGCCATCAAATGCATAGAAGTACATGACCTTGATGAACAACCAGAACTCCCCCCACCCCTACTCTTACTTGCTCAGCTTGGGTAACTGCAGGGAGCTGGCGACAGGAGGAGATTTAAACAGGTGGGAAATCAAAAGTGGATTTCTGATTATATCACACTACAAAGCATAAGGCCACTGAACAGCAAGTGGCATTTTCTCTCCGTTTCCAACATGGCAGTACGTAAAGCAAGGAAACCATCAGACCCCTCGTGGGGGACACGGATGGATCTTGGTCTGAGGTTCAGGCAACTTCCTCTACAAAAATGAAGTCTGGTCTTGTTCTTTGTGAAATCACTGTTGAAGTTCCCCTCAGCTCCAAGAAGAGCAGTAGCAGGCACTTGAGTTGTCTCTGGACAAATTAAAATGGATTCATAAGACCACGCTCCTACCTGACACTGACTCTGTAGCTTCTTGGTTGGTCGGCCAACGATGTATATATGCGTAGGGGGCAAATTAATGGAGTTGTAGACGGAAATGTCCTTAGTGGATCCATATGCTGCGTGGATCTTCATGTGGAGCTGTGGGGAGAGAGGAGAGGAGCTCATTCAGAACGAATCTCCACTGGGATTCTGCTCATTTTTGTTTTTGCATCATGACTGCACAAATCTATTAGGTCAATAATGTACGTGGGACCCAGCTGGAAAATGCCCTGCAGAGCCATGCAATAGTTAACCAACAGCTGAAGGTGTTTACACAGGCTGAATGGGGTTAGGGACCACTAGGAAAATGTATCTGTGTTTATCTAGCATTGGCCTTTCTTTGAGGTCTGCTTCAGGAGGAGTTTATCAGCAACACTGCCAGTGAGGGGGTGTTTTGCAACTCTCTGCTATAACTATTTACATGGAGAATTTTTCTTCTGCTGCGAAACTGCAGCACACAACACCGCTGTTTAACTTGTGGGGCTATTGGGAGGTCAGCCTAACCAACTATGCCCATCTCCCTGCCTGATGCATGGACTATTTTCACCTATCGGCAGTTACTTGATTTAACGGGCAGGTTTGGCTCTCCACAAAACAGAAGATTTAATTCAGCCTTTGGCCAAAGACTAAAAAAAAGATTGTTTTGCAGCAAAGAAGGTGGCAGAAAGCAGGGGGGGATTCTCCAAGAGGAACAGCTCAGCTTGGTGCCAAGTGCGGACCGCTCTTATTTCTCCTTCAGAGCTGCAAGCAGTCCAAAGACTTTGCTGTCCTCTAGCAAGGTCAAGTTTCCAACAAGATTCAGCATCTGTTGTAATAAGAGGGTCTCTGGGATAGCTCAAGCTTGAGATTTTGCACCCAGCTTTCAAAACAGAAGCTGAATCACAAAGGAGCTGCAGTCCATACTTGAGAACAGGCTCCTGTGCTTTCAAGGACTAAGAGGGATAAGAAATACATGTTTCACTGAAGTAGGTAGCTTTGGGGTCCTGGCAGTGACCATGAAATAACCCAGATCGATCACAGGAAGAAAAGGGAAAACGATGGCAAGCAAAGACCCCATAATAAACCCACCAGAGACCACATCATGGGCAGCATTCCCTCTAAGCTGTGTGGCGTGCATGGCCATGCAGACGCGCCTGGCAGTGCAGCATGAGCGCGCCTGCATGGCTGCACACGGCGCACAGCATAGAAGGAACATTGATCATGGG